TGCCTCAGCCTCCATTCATGCCATTGTCTCCGCCCATGTACCGCTGCATGTATGAGATGTAGTCGAACTTCGGTACGTTGCGGTCTTCTTGCAGATCGGGACCTTTGTGCTCGGGCATACTTTCAATGAGGTCTTCGATGATTTCATCGGGGACGAGGGAGTGGCGTAGGTCCATTTCGGTAACGTAGGGCTGTTCGTGTGTTAGTTTCGCACGCTAATCCATCGAGGGATCTTCAAGGTGACTTACCTTGCCATCGGCCACCTCCTTGAATGACTCGAATACCTGCTCCGCAGTATTCTGATCCTCCGTCTCGTCCACCATGAACCGAATAAACTGCTCGAAAGTAACGTAATCGCGCCCACCACTGGTGTCTCTAAATTTCTGGTGCATCTCCCCCTCGTCATATACAAGGCCCAAACTCGCCAACGCTGCAGAGAACTCGAGCTCTGCCAAAGAATTTGAAACATCGCGGTCGAAATGTCGGAATACCGATTCGAACTCCTCAAGTTGTATGGGGGTAAGATTCGTCATATTGCGGGCGACCATCTGGTTCTCCAAGAATGCGAGCTTCTTCGATACCGAGGAGCGTACCAGGCCGAGTTCGTATTCCAGCTCGTCGTACGTGTATGTTGTAAAGTCGTTTTCCTCGATATTTGCTTCGACGCACTGGTCGTCCAAGGTGGCGATGATCTGGAGGTATTGGTCCAAAGGCGCGAGGTTCTCGCTAATTCTCTTTGTGTGTTCCAGCTGATCTTCCACCTCGCCTTCCAAGCCTGATATTGAAGTTGAAAGAGTATTCAAAGCGAGCGCGAAATCGTTTGCTTTGTCGGCGAAGGACTTCCGCAGGGCGTTCTTGATATCTCGTATAGTCTCGTTGATGACCTGCGACCGGTCGCGCTCTGCTTTCACAAGACCTGCCCAAGCTGTGTCTAAGGCATCCAAGCTGAGTTCCGCAGGAGGATCGTATGGCCGCAATCGATATGTCGATAGTTTTGTCTTGATGTTGCCCAAAAGACCAACCAGATCCGACTTCTCCGCTACCCATGCCCGTTTGTTCTTTCGCTTGTATGCTGTGAAAGCCGCCGACTGGTTCCTCGCATCTGTATATGATCCGTCGAACGTAGACTCCTTCCACACTTTCTGTTGCTCTGCGATCTGGCGGAGTAGCTCGCGCATGCGCTTCTCAAAGTTGTTCTGCATCTCCCACGCCCCGTTCATGTTTTGTACAAACTTCTCTACTCGGCGGCCGGCGTTCTCCACCCGCTCCATCTGCGAGAAAGCGTGGAACCAGTAAGCAATGTACGTCATCAGGGAGCGTTCGTCGGGCTTCGCCACGTCGCATACGTCTTCGACGTCGAGGAGGTCGGGGATGCCGATTTCTTTAGAGGCAATATCGAAGGCGAGCTGCATGTTGCCCCGGTGGTCGTCCTTGTCCAGACTGTCGTAGTCAATCAGGTCGGGTCGGTGGATGTCCAACAGCGCGCAGCTATTCCTGTTAGTCCTGCCATATGGAACGGCCATATACCACTCACAATGCCAGCCCATCGTTCCAGCTTGTCGAAAAGTCCCGCACCTCGACCTCGTCATAGCATGCCGTCTTCCTCTGACACCAAAGCAGCAGCCCCTCCTTCGCACTCAAACCCTCCTCGTTGATGTCGCTGATGGTGAAGCGCAGAATTAGCGTCCATATGAGACCGAGTATAATCTTGCTGTTCCCGTCGACGACATCCTCAGCGCCAATGTTGGTCATCTGTATGCCCCTCCGCTTGATGTAGTCCAGCGACTTGTTGACATTCTCAAACTTTTGCACGCGGAGCTTCGGGCGGGAGGCATAGCGGCCGAGGGATTCGTTGCTGAGGATCTCGAGGAGGTGGATGAGAACAATCTGGCCGTGTTAGCGTGGCGCGGAGAGGGTGAAATGCCCGCGAGGGGTATCGTGGAGAGGCGGAGGTACTCACACCGTCGGACAGGTCGGTGATCAGGTCGTTGATCTCGACCTCACGTGTCTTGAGCTTGCTGTTGAGCCTGCGCAGTGTGGTTAGCTGCGTGGTACGGCCAGCGACATGCGGGCGGGGATGCGCACCATTTGGTGAATGTCTTCTGCTGGACCTTGACCCATTGCTGCTCGAGCGGCGCCATGGCGGACTGGGTGCATTAGTACAGTTCCCTCTGTGTGTGCAAAATAGCAAGTGCGCGTAGAAATAGGGAGATATCGGATGGTCGTGCTGGGGGGTTGTGAATGCAGCCAAAACAAAGGCCCTGGCGGCGACTCGTTTGGCGAGGGCGGGGGTCCGCGCCGTTGTCAAGCTGTCGTTGGCCCAGGCTCACCGCGGAATCAAACTCGTCAGCCAGTATTCTTGCAGAGCGCCCGACGTCGGTATTACCTTCGATTGCTACAAGGTTACGGGAAGTACTGCGCGTGCTGAGTAGAACCCCAGGCCGCGCCTGTGACGACTGCCGCGTGGCACGCATGAGAGCCGCATCTCATCCGGTCGCCGCATGAATTCACCGTCTTTCCCTCTTTAGTCGGTTGCGCCTTCCAGCATCATGGTTGAGACGGCTACAGCTGCCCCATCGCTGCCTTACCATGAGCCCGGCATTGTGACTATTCTGGTCTTGTCGTCGTTCCTCCTTCTCCTCAACGTCGTCAACTCAATCTTGGATCGCCTTGTCTACTGCGGTCTGCTGGGTCAAGTCCTCGTCGGCATTGCGTGGGGGACGCCTGGCGCAAAATGGCTGCCCATTGAAGCAGAAGAATTCATTGTTCAGCTCGGCTACCTAGGCCTGATCCTGCTTGTGTATGAAGGTACTTTGTCTCGAGGCCGCTGTGAGACATGAATGCTGACTGTAGTGGGCGGCCTCTCAACATCGTTCAAATCGCTCAAGGCCAACCTTCTTCTCTCGTCAGCCGTTGCCCTCACTGGAATCGCCTTTCCTATCGGCTTCTCATACACCCTGCAAGGCATTCTGGATGCCACACCCGTGCAAGCTTTTGCCGCGGGCGCGGCGCTGTGCTCAACCAGCTTGGGCACTACCTTTACCGTCCTTGCCTCCAGCGGACTTTCATCGTCTAGGCTAGGTGTCGTGTTGACCAGCGCTGCTATGATGGACGATGTTGTGGGTCTCGTCATAGTTCAGGTGATCTCCAATCTGGGCAGTGGAAATGTCGATACCATCACCATCGTCCGCCCGGTTCTCGTTTCGATAGCGTTCGCCGTCGTTGTGCCATTAGCAAGCCGATTTGTTGTCAAGCCCTTGACACTATCGCTGAACGGGTACCGAAAGATGCATCCTGATGTTCGGCTTACCAGAGTGCTCCAACTACGGCAGACAGCTTTGACACTGCATACTGCACTCCTTCTTGTACTCATAACAGGTGCTAGTTATGCTGGAACGTCAAATCTGTTTGCCGCGTACATTACTGGAGCTAGTATCAGTTGGTGGGACAGCGAGCTTCCCCATCCCATCGGGTCTATAGGTATAGCCGGGGACGGTTCAACTACAAAAGAGGCAAGAGCGACTGACCCAGGTATCACTCTGCAACAACCTCACGAGGCTCATCCCGCGAATGAAGACACTTCCGGATCAGCTGTATATGAGCACTACTACCAGCAGGCGGTCGGTAAGATCCTGCAACCATTCTTCTTTGCTTCAATCGGCTTCTCTATTCCCATCACCCGAATGTTCCAAGGATCAATCGTCTGGCGCGGCATCGTTTACACCATCCTGATGACCTTTGGGAAGTTGGTCTGCGGGCTTTGGCTTGTTAGATTCTCTTTGGCGCCCACGAATGCTATACGTGTTCTTCGCGGAAAGATCAAACTTCCATCGATACCCCATCTCTGGGGAAGGAACAACACCGTAGAAGCGGCCAGCACAGGGCTCAGCCAAGATGGAACACAATCAGAACCGAAAGATTCGCAGCAAGAACCCGCACAACAACCCCGACCCTCCAACTTACACACCTCCCCCGCCCGCAAACCCTTCTCCCTCCATCCACCCCTCATCCTCGCCTTCGCCATGACTGCCCGAGGCGAAATCGGCTTCCTAATCTCCGCTGTCGCCGAATCCAACGGCGTCTTCTCCCCCTCCCTCTCCTCTTCTTCTAACAATCCTCAATCCACCGAATCAGACATCTTCCTCGTAGTAACATGGGCCATCGTTCTCTGCACTATCTTCGGGCCCTTAGGCGTCGGTCTCACCGTAAGACGAGTCAAGATGCTCGAGCAGCGGAAGAACAGAGAGCAAGAAGGGGCAGGACGGGACGTGTTTGGCGTATGGGGCGTGGGTTAGCAGGTACATGTATGTGACAGCTCATGCTCGGTAGACGTCGGGCCGACGGGTACGTAGAGGATGCGGATCGGCTCGGTTCGGGAGCTTAACTGCTCGTATCTATCCCGTCCACGGACAGAAATATGGGAATTTGTTCTTTCCTATGCTGAGCTCGTCGAATGAAGCAAGCGTCCGCTAGAAGCATCGTCCGAACGGCGGAAGCCGCGCAGCTAAAACGTGACAGCTGGTGGAAAACATTCTATGCATCTATGCACTTGAGCCTTCCACCAACATCACCACCGATTTTTTTCTCATACAAGCAAAGCATGCTCATCCATCGCCTGTAAGTTGCAAGCCGGTTTTGCGGCGTGAGACGATTGGACGGGCTCCGATTCGATGCTTGCCCCTCAGTTGCCCGCAGCTACACGCTGTTTTACGGGTTTAGAGTTTGAATATTTGAGATGCAGCGCTTTGTAGGAGGGAAATTGATGTTGGATCCTTAAAACAGCACAGAGGCGGGCCAAAGCCACATCATACCCAGTATTATGCAGCGTAGAAGGCGCTGCCAGTCCTTGGAATAGAATAGGTACGACAACGCAAGCAAGAAATTAAGTTGTGCTATCCTTGCTTGCACCTGATGAACTGGTTGCGATATGGCAAGAGAAGGGTGCTCGCTAAGCAAAAAGGCCATGCGGGGAGGGGTTAAAAATCGCCAAAAAAATTGTTCAGGGCCGAACCGGAGTCGAACCGCTGTGTCTTTGTTAGATGATGTTCACGTCACTCATTTGATGAGAACAACTTACGTGACTTCGGGAAGACAGTATGGCTGCAGTCCTACACTCTACCACTGAGTTACCGGCCCATGCACTAATTTGTGATGAATTTTTCGCTTATTATAATATATATAGACTATTTAAAATTCCAGGCGACAAACTTGCGAGATTGTTGCGGGGTTCAGAGGCTTCGTTGAAGCGAGGGAGGATGCGGCCTGAATGAAGGGGCGGGGCAAAGTGTGAGGCACCCTGTGGAGGGGCTGGGCTTGTTGCATCGGTCGGGCAACCGAGCAAAATCGCAGAGGAACTAGGAATTCGTAGCTTGAGATTACACAACCAATATATTAATCTGCGGCGCTATAGTCACTCCAAAGCTACAGGTTTGCCGGCTTGTGCATCTTCATGTTTGGAGTTAAAAAGCTATCTCGAATAGCACCATTCAAGCCAACTCAAATCAGGATTATGAGGATATCATGTCGAAACAATCTGCGAAACATCGCGCCGTTAAAATGATGACATCGCTTCTGGAATGCACTGATACGCCTCTTCACGGCATTTTTGAAGATGACACAGCATTCTAGCTGAAACGCGGAGAGATGGCCGTTGGACGAGATATAAAACGGGAGGCGGGATACTTGGTGTGCGAACTGGGATGTGGTGGATGGTAACACAAGCCGACCACACAGCCGTGGAGAATCCAGGTAGCGCTGCACACTAGCCATCGAAATGTGAGACTATTCTGCAATTCAAAGGAGTCCATCAGACGATGAGATTGAATTTGATATGGTCGAGGAATAGACCCCGCTTAGTGGTAAATTATTGCAACGGACAGCGGCGGCGGCGTTTTGGTGCAGCCTGGAAGCGTTTCAAGAGGGTCACTTTGCGATTCAAGAGACGGCCTGAAACGATGAGATGGACGGTGATCCCTACAGCCGCCGCCGTGGTGTACCCAAGCTTTTGCCTCCGTCGCCGAGCCGCTGAGGCTCGCTGTGCTTGTTGCTTGCCGCTGTGTCGCGCCTGCTGGTGTGTGAAACGCGCCCGCGAATCTCGTACCTATGCGCCTGCGCTGACGGAATGCCCGTGGAAGAATCCCTCATCTGCCCGTCCAGCCTGTGAGCAGCGCCGTGCGAGACCACAGTCATTGGCTGTCGTGTCTTTCTTTGAGGTTTGGGGGTGTCAGCTGTCACGTGCAACAGCAGCGCTGCTTTAAGCAGCCCATGAAGAGAGCGGCGGCCTCGACGAAGCTAGCCAACCCTTGAAGACGACTCCACCGCAACCCCCATCACCACTTCCCACGCCATTTCCTGCTTCTTCGACGCATTCGCTCTCACCGGCCGCTCTGCGAGCACCCCCGCCTCGCTCCGGAACCGCTGTCTTTCTTTCCATGACGGGGACTGGCTAGGACTCTCCGCTCGGCTCGCAATCGACAGGCCGTGGGCCCTCGCTCGCTTTCACCGATTGTCCCAGGAGCCCAACCACGTACCGGCCTCTCTGCCAGCGCGCACCACCACTTGCACACGCCCGCTGTCTCCTACGCAACGCGAGCAGTCTTCTCCGCCGCGCGTGTGCTACCTGTCCCGCCGTTCGTCGTCGGAACCGAGCCGTCACACCTCTCGAGCCACCCCCCCGCACCCGCCGCATTCCCCGTTGGACGCCGCCGGCAGTAGGGCAGCAGCGACGTCGGACATAGTGTCTAACTGCTAATCGATACTTGTCTATTGTCCGTATGAGTGTGACGCTAAGTAAGTACTGTCTGGTGGGGAGTGGCTCCATGTCAGCCTGCTACTTCGCCGACCCCTACGCACTGCCGCCCGCTATTTTCGGATCGGGGACTCAGCGCGAGCATTTTGGTCACAGTCCACAACGCTCGCCGCGCTTTCGAGTCAACCAGCTAATTCACGCCCGCCAGAATGTATTCTCGCGATCAATTCATGAACCCCGGTCCCGCACCACGGCCGCCTACCGACCGCCCCCGCCTCGCTCTGACCCCCAACACCAGCAGCACCTTGCCCGGAAACATGGCCGGCCTGAGCATGCAGTCGCCCGGATACAACAGCGGCGCCTACAGCAACAGTTCGTCTACCTCGCTCGTGCGCACCCAATCGGAGAAGAGCATATCCACCAACTCAACGGTAAAGGAAGGAAGTGTCAAGGTCAAAGATGAAGGGCTGTTCAAGTCGTTCGTTTGGGCCGACCGCTGGCTCGTCCTGCGCGAGTTCGAGCTCAACTTCTTCAAGAGCCCAAACTCCACCAAGGTGGCAAATACCATCATGCTCCGGGACGTGCTCGGCGTTGAGCGCTCGGACACGCAGCCGCTGTCATTCGAAATCACCCGTTCGCTGAACCCGAACAAGGGCTCATCACCACCCCGCGACGGCCCCACAAAGATCATAACATGTAAGGTTGAAACCGATGACGAGGTGTACTCGTGGATCGACAGCATCTACCAGCGATGTCCGAGTATGGGCGGTGTTAGCAACCCCACCAACTTCACTCATAGAGTACATGTCGGCTTCGACCCCACGAGTGGAGCTTTTGTCGGTTTGCCGGTGGAGTGGGAGAAGTTGCTCACGGCTTCTGCGCTAACAAAAGACGACTATGCAAAGAACCCGAAAGCCGTCCTTGAAGTGCTGGAGTTTTATACTGAGAAGCTCGTCAAGCGCGCCGATGACCCGCAGCAGTACCCCAGTCTTACTCCCACCCCGCCGGTGAGCTCTGGCATGGAGAAGCAACTCGGATATGGAGGCGGTGGCAGCGGCATCGCGCCACCTCGCCCCGCACCCCCCAATGGATTTGCCCGGAAGGATAGTTACAGTCTCTCGCGCCAGGATACTCCCCCAAGTTCCGGATATGCGACCCCACAAGGTGGTATGCAGCAGGATCCTCGCTATGAGGAGCGACGCAGGATGGAACAAGAGCAACGTGCGCGTGAACAACGCGAAATGCAGAGGCAGCGGGAGCAGGAGGAATACGCGCGACGGGAGCGCGAAGAGCTTGCTGCCTACAATGCTTCCCTACCCCAGAAAAAGATTCCGCTGGCGCAGCAAGAAGTCGCAGGTGGCGGCTATGATTCACGAGACTCGAGCCCATCAGGGCAACAATCTCGCTATAACCCCAGCAGGCCGGCTCCTTCCACTCCGGGTGCTCAGAGACCACAGCAGGGGCAGCAGCAACAACAACAACAGAATCAGCCACCAGCCTTGCGACAGATGGCTGCACAGCGTCCAGCACCTTCAGCCCCGAAGCAGCAAAATGGTGGTGGCTATGGCACATCACCGCAATCCAAACTCCCAACACCTCAGTCACAACGTCCGCCCGTGCAACCCAATTCGCGATACCAGAGCTCGTCCGGCCAAGTGCCGCAAAACCGTCCCGCAAATGGTCAGACACAACAACAGAAGCAATACCAAGGCTCTGCCGCGCCCAAACCCCTGAACGTTACTGCGAAGCAGCCCACTGCCCCCGTCAACGATGCTGTCAAGAAGGCCGAACAGGCGCTCACCAGCAAGAAAGAGGAGGCGCCTCGTAAGGATGTGCGCATGTCGAGCATGTCCGAGAGCGAGGTCATGGCCAAGCTTCGAGAAGTGGTTTCGAAAGACAGGCCTCTCGACTCGTACAACAAGCAGAAGAAGATTGGACAAGGTGCCTCCGGATCCGTCTACGTTGCTCGCATTCGTGAGGGTGCAACTTCTCCGATGGCTCGACGAATCATCCAAGAGAATGGACCCCGCGCGCAGGTGGCCATCAAGCAGATGGACCTGCGCAATCAGCCTCGCAAGGAGCTGATTGTCAACGAAATTATTGTTATGAAGGACAGCAAACACCCCAACATTGTCAACTTCTTGGACGCATTCTTGCAAGAAGAACAATCAGAGCTCTGGGTGGTTATGGAGTTCATGGAGGGTGGTGCCCTAACCGACGTCATCGACAACAACCCCTCTATCAGCGAGGATCAGATTGCGACTATCTGCTTGGAGGCAAGTTAATTACTCGTAACCCCGGGAGCCATGCTGACTGGAAATCAGACTTGCAAGGGTCTGGAACATCTTCACAACCAGAATATCATCCATCGTGATATCAAGAGTGACAACGTACTCCTTGACGGACGCGGAAATGTCAAGATTAGTAGGTCTACACATCGATTGGGTGACACGGGGCACCTTGGCTAATGTCCCTCTAGCTGATTTCGGTTTCTGCGCCAAGCTCACCGAGCAACGCAGCAAGCGTGCGACCATGGTTGGAACACCCTATTGGATGGCACCCGAAGTCGTTAAGCAGAAAGAGTACGGTAACAAGGTCGACATATGGTCGTTGGGCATCATGGCCATCGAGATGATTGAATCCGAACCGCCCTACCTGAACGAGGAACCGCTCAAAGCGCTCTACCTCATCGCTACGAATGGCACACCCCGCCTCAAGAAGCCCGACAAGCTGTCCAAGGAGCTCAAGGCGTTCCTATCTGTCTGCCTTTGCGTAGATGTCAAGTCGAGAGCCAGCGCCTCCGAGCTGATGAACCACGATTTCTTGAAGAGCGGGTGCAGTCTGAATTCGTTGGCACAGCTGCTGAATTTCAGGAAGAATGGCAGCCATTAGATGTTTTCTGAGCTTTTCGCCGAGGTTTTTACGAAGCTCTTCTGGTCCCGATCGATACCCTTTCCATACATACACTTTGGCACTTGCACGAGCGAAGCGGGCGCGCAACATGAATGAGAGAGCGAACGAGCGAGCGAGTGGTTGGCGAGTCCCCGAACCCGGGACGAGCCATTTGTACGTCTCTTGACCGTTTTGGCCCATTGTCTTTCGGGGGAAGCGCGAAACTTTTTTCACTTTGAGAAGGCATGTTGGGACCGCGCAGCTTGCATATTTTTTTCTTCTCTTCCGTCTTCGTTCCGAGCATGTTATGCCGTTACTGTGCTGTGGAGGAATTCCGGTGAACTGAGCTTCTTTGGTTTGGATAGAGAGAGCTGAGCTGAGCTGCCTGTCCGCCCTCTTGTTTTCCGATTACACTCGTTCGTTCTGGCTAATGGCGGCCTTTGCAGGTTACGCCGCAAGCTGGGCTAGCGCTGGGCTGACGCTGTGCTCACGCTGA